ACTTTCCAACCATTCCACAAATGGTCTCTAATTTCCTTGACAAGTGAATAAATTGCTTGGTTTATATGCTTCCAACAATGAAGACTTGTAGGGTGAATGATTTAATTTTCCAAAAGCTCAAAATATTAGGTTCTTCTGAAAGCCGTTAAGTATTTGAGAATAACTGAAAATTTCTCCCTTAAATATTTTTTCCATCATATTGAGAATCCTTGGCTCTAATATTGAGCCCTTTCTCATGCAGACTGTTTGTAAGATCTCTTAGCATTTTGATTTCTTTTTTAGAGGTGCACTTTAATTTGCCAAGAAGTTGTTGGAAATGTGGTAGACCAAAGAGAAAAGGAAACATCAGGTAAAGCTTGGCCAACAAAGCAAAGAGAAAAAATTGCCATCATCACTGCTTTGGACACTCTGCTTTCTATCAATCTAAGCTGTTCATTTTAGTTCTTATTTAGCCACACTGTACCGTTGGCTCATAATGAGTTTGCCATCAAATAAAACCTAGATTCAACCACCCCCACTCCGACTCATGGCTTCATTCTGTAATGGCACATTTCTGCTATCCTTTTAACGAGTAATTTTTTTTCAGCTGAAATGTAGTATTTTGTTTTTGTTTTTCTAAATATAGTAATAAAAGTAGCAGCAAAGGCTTATATAGTACTTATTTTACACATGGCAAGTTTTTAACACTTTACATACACTAACTTTAAAATTTAATATCCTTAGTTCTCACCCTCAATTTTCTATAATTCTGTTAGAATATTCTCAACAATTTCCATTAATTGTCTCATAAATTAAAACAAGTTAAGATGATAGTTGGCATTTACTAAGCACTATGTTTCAAGCACTGTGCTGAGCTATTTTGTTTGTTTCTGGGGGGTTCCCCCCACCATGACCTGACTTAACTACCTCCTAGGCTTTATGAGGTAGGTACTGTTACAATACTCACTTTTCACACAGGGAAAATGAGACTTAGAAGATTAAGTAACTTGATCCTGGTCTTACAGGTAGCAAGTATCGGAGCCAGGATTCAAATCCAGATCTTTCTTACTCCAAAATAGGACTCTTAACCACATGATGTGTTTATCAATAACCTGGAAGCTTACAGGGATAGACACCTAATTATTTGAGTATTCAAAACTCACTGAGACAATTGTCAGTATAGGGACAGAGCTTCAATGGAATTATGATTAGTTCTGAACATAATGGCTCTTAACAGTTTCTTTCTTACTTTCTTTCTTTCTTAAATGAATGGTGTAGTCAGTACCTAAGTACGCAGAGACACTAAACAGGGTACACCGTTAAGTCTGGAAATCAGGCCAGAAAAAAGACACTATCTGAAACAAAAACAATAAATATCAACATGCAGAGCTGTGTGTTTTGTACTTCTAAAGTTGATTATACAAATTAATCTAATTAATACTTACTAATTTTTTATATGTTATGGGGTAAGAATCTAATTTCATTGTTTTCTATATGGATAACTAATTACTACAGAAGAACTTAATAAGTAAAAGAGCCCGTCCTTTTCCCCAATGATCTATAAGGTTTTCTCTGGCATAAATAAATTGAAGCCCCAACCCCCAATGAAACTATATTTGGAAATAGAGCCTTTAAGGAAAGTAAATAAGGTTAAATGAAGTCATAAGGGTGGGGTCCTAATTTGGTATGACTTCTTATAAGAAGAGAAAAAAAAAACCCAGCAGAAATCTCTCTCTCCACACATGCATAGAGGAAAGGTAAGAGGTGGACACAATGAGAAGGTGGCCATCTACAAGCCAGAAGGAGAAATCTCACCAAAACCAACCTTGACAGCATGTTAATCTTGGACTTGTAGCCTCTGGAAGTGGGAAAATTAAATTTCTGTTGTTTAAGTTACCCAGGCTGTGATATTTTGTGATGGCAGCCTGAGCAGACTAATACAGATTTAATGGACCAACTCCTTTGAAAAACACAATCTATAAAAACCTACACAAAGAGAAACAGATAATCTGAACAGGACTATATCTATTAAATAGATTTAATTAAAAATTAATAACTGTCAAAGAAAAAAGAACCAGGCCCAAATAGTTGCATTGGGTTTACTAAACATTTCAGTTACAAATCATACCAATTCTCTACAATCTCTTCCAGAAAACTGAAGTAAAGGGAACACTTTCTAACCCATCCCATGAGGCTAGCATTACTCTCCTACCTAACCCAGATAAAGACTTTAAAAGAAAGAAAAACCACATATCAATATCACTCATGAACATACACGTAAAAATCCTCAACAAAAAATTAGCAAGTCAAATCCAACAATGTATAAAAAAAATGATTCACCATGACAAAGTAGGATTTACCCTAGGCATGAGAGGCTGGTTCAACTGAAAATCAATTAATGTAATCCAACACATTAAAAGGCTAAAGAAGAAAAATCATATGATCATATGATCATATGAATAGGTACAGAAAAAGCATTTCATTAAATCCAACACTTATTTATAATAAAAACTTTCAGCAAACTAGGAATAGGGTGAACCTCCTCAACTTGATAAACATCTAGAAAGAAGCCTACAGCCTATATCATACTTAATAGTGAGGAACTAGATGCTTTTCTCCTAAAGATTGGGAAAAAGGCAATGATGCTTGCCTTCAACACTCCTATTCAACATTTTACTGACAGCTCTCCCTTATGTAATAAGACAAGAAAAGAAAATAAAAGATAAACACATTGGGAAGGAAAAAATACTCCTTTTTTTCAGGTGATATGATATGAAATGATATGAAGTTGACATAGAAGAAAAACTAAGTGACCTCAGATTTGGAAATGATTTTTTTGATATAACACCAAAAGCACAATAAAGGAAGAAAATAATTGATAGGTTGGACTTTATTAAAATTAAAACTTCTGCTCTGTTGCAGACAAGCCACAGACTAGGAGAACTATGAACCCTACTGTCATTATGGACTTTAGTTAGGAATAATATAGCAACAGTGGCTCAGCAATTTTAACAAATGGATCACACTAATGCAAGATCTTAATAGGAGAAACTATGAGTGTGTATATGTGGTGGGGGGATGTGATATATGGGAACTACTTGTATTACCTGCTCAACTTTTCTGTATACCTAAAATTGTATTACCTAAACCTAAAACATGAAATATATTATTTTTTTAAAAAGTTGGCCATATTCTTTTATTATTTCTGAAAATTATCTAGAGTTTATTCTGTGTTTTCTATATAGAAAATGATATAAACTTACTAATGATAGTGTTATTTCTTTACAAGTCCTTATATCTTTTATTTCCTTACAACTATAAGTAGCTGTGCAATGTTGCTGAACAGACTTAGAGGTAGCAGGTATTTTGTTGTTGTTCTTTAAGGCATTCTTCCAACACTTCACATTCACTACATGGGCTTGGCTTAAGACTGTTTCCTCCTTGATTTTTCTTACCTGCAGAAATAACTGAAATGAGTTGCATAAAAAATCTAGGAGCATGCTATCTGGGAGGATTAGCTTAAGAATATAAAACAACACTGAAAAGTGTTCTCAAGGGGCGCCTGGGTGGCTCAGTCATTAAGCGTCTGCCTTCGGCTCAGGTCACGCTCCCAGGGTCCTGGGATGGAGCCCCACGTTGGGGCTCCCTGCTCGGTGGGGAGCCTGCTTCTCCCTCTCCCACTCCCCCTGCTTGTGTTCCTTCTCTCACTGTGTCTCTCTCTGTCAAATAAATAAATAAAATCTTTATTAAAAAAAAAGGAAAAGTGTTCTCAAAATAACTAAAATAAGTTCAAATGGCACAAACCAGATATACTGGTAGAAAATCTATATATTGAGTTTTAAATTTTATCCTTAAGCATATGTGAAGGGTTAGTTATACAAAGAATGAGAATTATAAATGTCTTTTATTCATGTATTCCTGACATCTTACCCTTCCCCTGATGTGCCCTGCCTCTTCCCTTGCCCTTTGGTCTAACACATGCTTTCTCTTTCTGTGAGTCTTGGCTGAAAGGTCATTTCTTCAGAAAGCCTTTCCCTGGTTTTCTAGAGTGGGTTGGATGGCCCTGTTTTACATTTCTCTTGCATCTTGTTCCTCCCCTTTCATAACAGTCATCACATTTATATGATTCTTCAACTTAACCACATAACTGTAAATTCCAAGAGGACAAACAATCTCCATGTTTTATTTATTTCTATATCCCCAGTGCCTAGAACTGTTTTTGTTCAAACTGAGACTCAATACACAGTTGTTCAATGAATTAATGAATAAATAGGAACATCTCCAATAGCAGCAAATGTCCTTCCAGGTTGGAAGACATTGGCATCCCTTTGGCATCCTTCACTGAAGACAAAATAAGAAACAATGATCCATCTGCATTGCTGCCAATAAGATAGAAAGTAAAATGACTTGAGTTGATACTAAAAGTTAATTAATAGTAGATCCAAAGACATTTTGTTTAGATGACAATTATTTATAAACTTTATTATTTGATTACTTTTAGATTATGAATCCTTATTAAAGAATGAAATGGGGCACCTGGGTGGCTCAGTTGGCTAAGTGTTTGATCTCAGGGTCCTGGGTTCGCGTCCTACATTGGGCTCCCTGCTCAGCAGGGAGCCTGCTTCTCCCTCTGCCCCTGCCCCCTGCATGTGTTCTCTCTCTCTCTCATGCTCTCTCACACTCTCTCTCTTTCAAGAAAATAAATAAAATCTTAAAAAAAATAAAGAACGTAACGTGTTACAATATTCATCTCAGAGTCCCTCAGGATTTGGTATTCTTTCAAGAAGCTTGAAGGTACAGTTTACAAATGAGACCAAGTATTTAAGAAATATTTAAAAGGCCTCCAAATAGGCAATTTATTCTCTTCTCAATGGCAGTTCTCAGTTCCCTACGTTAACATTATATATATTGTGTAACTATATGTTACCATGTAGTCAATGTGCATAAGATGTCAAACAAAATGTCAAAATAAATAGTGGTGAAAAATGGAGAAAACAGCAATTCATCATCAGTTCTTATACCTGTAAGTGATGTGTTTGTGTTGCCACTTCTGTCCTGTTAATGCATATCGCTTTCGACGAACATTAAATTTGGAGCTACCTCTTGTCTGGTCAGGTACACCACATCGAGGCTTCTTCATCCAGCTGCAAAAAGCAGTATTTTCCAGTTATTTACCAACAACCCTAATCATGAATTTCAAAAGGAAATCAATTGAGAAGGTAATCTATGACAGTGATTATGAAAATGGGAAAACATAAAGAAGAAAGTTGTCAATTTCCTTGCAATTTAAATCTAAGTAGAAAGCATATTTTGTCCCTGAATGATCAAGAATCAGTGGTTTCAAACTCAGCTCTTTTAGATATTTTTTCTTTCTCTAATTCATTTTGAGCTTGTTGTAGACTGAGGTCCTCTTACGCTTCTAACTAGAATCTGTTTTAAACAAGATTTGTGACCTTGGGCAAGTCACTAATTCCTAGTCTCATTCATAAAAAGAGACTTTTAAAAATAAATTTTCACTAAGGTCTCTTCCAGGTTTAACATTCAACAATTTTTAAAATCTGTTACATGATCTTAAATTTCAGGATTTGAGAGGGTATATTCTATTCTCTCTTCTAGCTTACATAGAAGTAAATTATTTAAATAACATTTGCCTTTCTCCATTTTTTTTCTTATTTTCACTTTGATCATTACCCCAACTTACAAGTAAGAACCATTTGTTTTAAATCAGTAATTAATAACCAAATTCAATGCTTAATTTTTTTTTCTGGATATGAGGTGTTAGCATCACACAAATAAGGTTTAACATAATTATATTAGGAAAATGATATGCTGTTTTTTGATTAATTTTTAATACTTATACAAATACAGTCATGGAACTTCTTTTCTACAGTCTCATTGGTCAAATGTCCTGTTTTCGATGTAGTCTTGCTTCTTATCTAAGAAGAAAGATCTTCATGATTTTGAGTAGTGCTTCTTTGGTGACTCATAAAATGGCTTTACCATTCATTAGCACATTTAATTTAACAATTACAAAGCTAATGCAAAATCTTCATGGTGCTATATGCTTCAGCAAGTAGAAATGAGAAAAGAATCAATTTTTGCTGTATTTCATCAGATACTTTATAATTTCTATACTCTTTAAATGGAAAATAATTGACTATAGAGAGTTGACTATAGAGATGACTATCTAAAGATGTCCATTTTGTGAAAATGAAAGAAACAGTTTACATGTTACATGGATAAATCAGCTAATTAGCTCTTATAAACAATAATAACCTCATACAACAATGAAATCATGACTTTTGTTTTTTAAGAAAGATGACACTTTTACCATAAGTATTGAAAAAATTTCTCCTTTTTTATTCTGCCTGTAGACAGACAATGTAGACGTTGCGGTTATCAAACTTAAAAGATTCCATCCTAGTTTATAATGCATTGTGGAGTTACTTCAGAAAAATTGCTTTCCCTTTATTAAAGTCTCCCAACTCCTAGGAGGCTATATGGTCCTACAGAATTGAATTCTATAAAGTTGAGAATGGAGATCTCCTATTTTTAACTAATACTTCAAGGGCATTCCTCAATCACTTCATTTGAGAGATATTTCACTAGACTGTAAACACTCAAGGGCAGGGGATCTATATACTAAGATCTATATGTCTATATACTATATACAAGGTGTATATATATATACTATCCACCTTGTACAACCCCCGGAATATAAGAGATATTCAATGAATAAGTGGATAGGGACACTTTGTATTTTTTAAATGAAAAATCATTAATTGTTATTACATACTGTAAGATACAGATACAGATTTAACTAGCAAATATTAAGCACTGGAGAGGTTATTATGATTTAAGTGGCTTTTACATATGGGTATTTCATTAATTATATTCTCAGCAAAAATTGTAATATTCCTAAGTCAGGTTTTTATGCTTATTTATTTCATTAAAAGCACTAAGAGAATAAATAATATATAATTATTAAAAATAATAAATTTACTAAGTGTGGGAAGTAGTTACACTTACATTTTGCTAAGAAAAATATTTAAGTTAGCATTCTGGGAAGAGAAATAATTTGGAAATGGATAGTGGGATGAAATTTGACAAAATGCAATTACCTATTATCAGGATAAAATGTATTGCTAATGAGGACATACTGTCTAAAATTATTTTAATAATCAATAAAATTAAAAGAGGAAGGTAGCAATTGAAAAGGAAATTAAATTTATTAATATAAATTTCCATTTTAAGTCATGCATATGTTGGATCTAGTAAAAATTTTTCCAGTGAAGCACTGCATCTTCCAAAGGATAGGGTTTATATGGATGAGTATTAGATTCTTATGCTGAAAGATATCTCTACTGAATTCTTTATGTATTTCTTAGGCTTTTGCCCATTAAATATGTATTTTTTCTTATGTTCCAACTTCCTTGTTTATTTACTCAATAAATCCTTATTCATTCATCTTGTAATATTTTTCAGCTTTTATAACATATTAAGAGATATAACAAAAAAGTGTGACTGGAAAGATAAACAAGGCAAGAAGTCCTTTTTGAGTTCACAGTCTACAGGCAAGACATGCATGATTAAAAAAAATTACTATATAATGGCTTAAATGCTGTCATACCTTTGTCAAGATACCCTGTCATTATTTCTAATTTACATGTAAAAAATTTTTGATTTTCCTACCCAGATCTGTAACAATTCCTCTGATGCTTTATTTCAGCCAAGAGTCTTAACATCCTTCTAATGCCTAAGTTAGATACCCAGGTAATATTCTCCACTGCTCTTTCGTCACATCTAATCAAGCAGGATGCAATCTTTTTTGCCTCCAAAATTTCTCTTCTCTCTCTCACTAATGCCGTCCTTCTCATTCCTAAAGACAAATCTTTGCAGAACACAGATGTGTTCTCTATATATTCTGGGCATGAAAATGCTTATATAGAAAGAATCTGACTTAGGCTTACTTAAGGAGGATCCCCTGCCACCCCCCTCTACTTTCTAAGATCCACTCAGGTTCCTACAGAACTAAACCTCTTTCTGCCTTTGTATGCAGTGACCTCTGTCTGGCATAACTTCCTCTTTTCTCACACTGAGAATCCTAAACATCCTTCATTATTCAACAGTTTACCATCCCAACACGGCACGGATTATACTATGTGTTCCGATTTGTGTCTCTGTCTTCCACTGGCCTGAGTCATGGCAGAGAGCCAGGAATAATGGGGCCTATGCCCAGAGAAGTCTTCAATAAGAAAATGAAGCAAATGAATTGAGTCTGCATGTCTCTTTTGTACATGCTGATCCCCCTTACTGTCCATGTTTCTTGAAGACTTTGTAACTCTTCCCAGGTGTGTGCCTTGAACAAATGCTTATTGCATGGACACTGTGTAGACATTTTTATGTAAAACTAAATCATAAAGCAGATGACTTAAGTGTAAGAAATAAACATAAGAACAGGAATAATCTAATATCGATCAGTAATTTAATGCAAAAAACTCTTAATAAGGGTTGGTCGAGTTGAGAACACCCTATGTTAACTTCGCCAATATTTATATCCAAATATTCTGGCATAGATATATTAGCAGAAATTATTTATCAAATTATGCAAAATCCCCAAAATATGATAGAAGCACATCATGCCACTGAATATGACACATGGTATCTGAGCTAAATTGGCCTTTGGGCCTTTTATGTGACTCGAAACATTTAAATCATTCTTTAATTTCATAAGGAGTCAAGTTCTTTCTACTACAATTTTTGAAGTTCTCGGTGGATAAAAATGATTAGTGTTTAACAGGACTCATCAATGAATTAAATGTCTAATACTAAAGGTAAAGTTGGCATGTTAATATTGTTATTCAGGTAGAGTCTGACCCTGGGATTTATTTCGTTATCATACACCAAATATTAGTTGCATTCATATATGAATTTGATAAAACCCATATATACTTGTACACGAGAGTGCAAAACTCTCCACGTACAAGTAGAATTGATTGATTGTTTCACCTCAGGTAACAACTGTATCAGCTGAAAGAAACATGGGTTAAAGAGAATGTGTGTGTGTGCATGTGTGCGGGCTATTTTCAAGCAGTGCTTCTTTTGTGAAAGTTCCATTGCTAAAACATACTTATTTTTCTGTGTGTCAATACACAGCAGCTCATATACATGTGCTTCATTACTGACTCATTTGCTAAGAATTTTAAGTTGACATTCCAAAGCAAACAAAGACGTGGGAACGGGCACTGGCGGTGGGAGGGAGCTACAAGAAAGTCATTTTGTACTTTCAAGGTGTAAATCACGGCACTCCCTCCGTTTGCATACATGCAATACTGATATTCAGTATTGATTTAATTGTTTAGAACCCATGGCGTTTTCAGATTAGCTGGGCAGAGCATTAATGGTTTCCTTAAATTAACTGAACTGAGAAAGGAAAAACATCTGAGATCAGTGTTCTTGACAGGAGTGACATTGTAAACGTTAGGAGCAGGGATCCTAGAGCCAGACTGCTAGGGCTCCAGCCCCACCTCCACCACCTCTCCAGCCCTGGGACATTGGTCTGACTATTGTTTCTTTCTACTTCTCCGTTTCCTCATGTACAAAGTGGAAGTGAGAATATTATTGAATTAATGTGAGGATTAAATTAGTTAAGTCACGTGAAACACTTAGCACAGTGCCTGGCAAATAGCACCTGCTATGGTTATTAATTTATAATAATTATTATTATTTTACAAACATCAGGAAGCAGCTGGACTCGTAGTAGAAGCTGCAACAATAGCAACATACTGATATTAGCATGTTTCAGGTCAGCTTGACCTATGTGTTAACATCCCTTGTTATTTAAAACAGGGATAGCCTGGTGTTTTCATAATACAGATAGCACCAGAGACACAATCCTCTGTTTTATGTGAATAAAGCAGCCACAAACTTCTAAACAAATTTGCAGTAATTAGAGCCACTATGTATGAAACAGTGTCCGTTGGTTTCAGTAACTGTGTTTTTTAAAGAGTTGGGTATTCGAGTCAAACATATCAGGCCTCTCATCGCATGACTGTAAAGGAAGCCTTCAGGTTGAGTCTACACACCTGGTGCCCCAGGAGTGGGGCTGAAGGAAGACAGCATTTCAATAAAATGCGTACAATCGAAACGGTGCCCCCTGGAGTTGGAGTGGTACCACACAGTGGCTCTGGGTTCATATGCCTACCTTTACTGCGAGAAAAAAAAAATAACTCACAAAATTATATCTTGTGCCTTATGATTAGTAATGTAAGAAAATGTTCATCTGCATAATTAAGAGGTTTCTATCCTCCAGACTTTTCCATGTTCTAATGGAAGGTAAGAGTAATATCTACTATTTATAGTTGTCCCCAAAAGATCATTTTACAAAGTTTTAAAAATGCTAATTTTTATGACTTTAAAAATCCTTCGGGTTTGTTTGTACTCATAGAGCCAAGTGCAAGAGTCGTGAAGAAGATTTTCTAAAAGTGGATTAACTTAGTGCTCAAAATGTTGACATTAGGCTGACAGCTCACTCTGGTCCAGAGTTTCTTTTTTCGATCAACTCATGAACTACTTGCATGGACACAGGTTATTCACAAAGCTGAAACTGCAGTTAGTGTACTTGAAAGCCTGATCACAGAGAATAGATGTAATAAGCCTCCATGATGCGCAATATGAAGAAAAAGCTCAGTTAGTGTCAGCTCTCATTTAAGCTTTCACCTTTCACCTTCCAGAAGGGGAATGAGGCTGATTTAGCTATCAGCCATCCTTCCATAGTTACCAAAATAAGGATTGATCCATCCTATAATGTAATCCTATAGTGTTTCAGTCCCATTGCTATAATCAGAAATAAAAAGAAATTTAATTACTGATGAACTTATCTTTTATACCTATATTGAAAAAGAGTCTTAACTCGATAATTTAGACAAATGACTGAAAATCATGAAACCTATTGAAAATTAAGCCCCGAAGCTTATGGTTCTTGATATAGCTAAATAAATATTTCAATTCTCAAATTAGGAGAATTCAAATACCACTGTGGTTTCATAATAATTATTTGAAAAAAGCTACACATTCAGTCTTAAATTAATTTTAATTAAGATAAATTGAATAAATTAAGCAGAATTACTCAGATCATCCTACATATGTATGAATATATGTGTATATTTGCATATTCATGTGTGTATACATGTATGTGTGTATATGTATACACACATATATGGAGGGAGATAAAAAAGAAAGATCACCTTAAAAATGATATCTCATCAATGCATGATAATATGCACACATAAAAGAGGAATTAAAATTTTAAAATACCTACCATTAATATTGTAAAAACACGTTAGACTCATTTTCGTTATTGCCTTGCTATCTTTTTCCCTCCATGCTAAAATAATCCTTTTTCATGCACAACATAAATTGCTTCACTTATTAAGGAATTTAAGTAAGCTTGCTTATAAAAATTAGCTAAGCAACCCATAATTTTGAAGAACCATTGCAACATATGATAATGAGCTTGTTTTAGGGTAGGGGGATAAGTATGCATTACTATCTCTCCAACACCAGTGCTAACTGATATGAAAGCAATATAGTAAGCCATTTAAGGTAATACCTAAATTTGTTGCTGGAAAATGGTTAATTTCTTCAACATAATATAGGGATCACCACAACTGCATCATTACTTTTAATTACCCAAGAATTACAGACTGAATGCATCAAATGTCTGTCTGACAAAGGAGGACATAATTATTTAATTTAAAAACAACTGATCTTGACAAGAGCCTACAATTAGATAAGAGTTTATAGCAGCATATGAAAATGAATCTTAAGACATTATTTTAATACTGAGGAGTAATTTTAGGTCTATAATTGTAGTCCATATTTTATGTGATAAGGTTTAGATAAAAATTCATACTTTATAATTTGACTATGTAAAATAATAGAGTACAACTTCAGCATGGATTGTTACGACACATTCATTTGGGATTACAAAAGCACAGACAATTCCTTAAGTAGCATGATTATGGGGATTATACTTCCAAAAACAGGACACTATTTGAGCTGAGTACCCTGCGTAACAGCACCTCAAGACTGGGGATACATCAGTGGAAAAACCCAGACAGCAGGCCAGTGAAGCCACAGGGCTTCTAGTGTGAGTGACAACGTGGGTGCCATAGGGGACAGAAGAAGCAGGGCAATCTAGGAAGGGCCGATGAGGGTTGAACCGGGCTTTAGTGGGCTCATCTAAGAATAACAGTGTATGTAAAGGAAAAGAAGCATTTCCAGTTAGAAAAGAGGAAGAAGAAAGGAAAGGAAAAAAAAAACTGAATTAGAACAAAGTTTGGTTAAAGAAAACAGATCAAAACACTGGTTGGTTTTAAATTAAAGGGTCCTATACAGCTGCTCTTCTCTCTACAATGCTATAACTCACAGAAATGCTACTTTAACTCCTACACACTGACACAATCATTTCTCCTGGGCTGGAATCTGAGCCACTGTGTGGCAGAATAGGACACAGGGTCTTTTTCTGCACCTCTGAATTTGACATTGTCCTGCCAGAGAACAACTAAAAGCTGTTCAGACCCTTTCCACATAAGCGGCCTAAATAAATCCTGCGCACATTCCTCTCCCATCATCTCCTGACAAAGACCTTTTTCCAGCTATCTTGGGAAATCAAACCTATCCATCTTGAGTCCTTCCAATGGCCAGCAGGAGCTCTCAAAATGGACAGGAAACACAGATGCCACCGTCTATAGAACTCTGCTTTCTGAATTTTAATAGCTGGTAATAAGCAGATTCAAAGGAATTTGTTTCCCAAGCTCTCAATTTATTGTATTTTTAAAAACTGTGTCATACGGTCCAAGAAAGTCAATCAGAAGATAACAGCTCTGCACTAGGGAGCATAAAAGCTGTTCAGAGCACTCTGTAAAATGTTGGGATTAAAAGTATGATTTAAATGGAATTCTGTACTATATGCAGCAACAAAATGTAGGACTTGTTGGGTTTGCTTATTAACTTAATAAGCTATCTTTAAAATTAATTTATAATTGTAATTAAAATGAATTTAAAACTGTATTTATTTAGGACACTATTAACAGAGAATTGCAACGAATAGAGGGCAGCAGATTCAAAATATCCAAGTCCTAGTCCCTATATTAGTAACAAGTTTCTCATTCTTGCAAAATGCATTATATTCATTCTTGGTTCTATTTTCCCAAATGGTATACCAAAGTTAATATTTATGTATCTCTTAAAAATGGTAGGAGAGGTAATTATATTTATTTTTCAAAACTGCTTTGACGTTTAATCCTCAAGCCTTTTATTAGGTACTCGTCCTGTCTTGATGAAATAGGAACAGTATGACTAATACCATGCTGTAAGTATTAGAAGGCAAAATCTAGTATTTAAATTATATTTAAGTTAGTTTAATATGTAAAAATTATATATACCTGAGTCAAGTAATTTCAGGTATTCAAGGTTTAAAAAGAAAAATAAATGTGTCATTTCTTGAGGTTCACAACATGGTATAGTAGAAAGTTCTTTGACTAAACACCAAAAGGTCTGGATTCTGCAACTACTCTGGACTTCACTTAGCCTTTGACTTTTAGTTTCTTTATTTGACAGTGTAGAGAGCAAAATATATCCTTATCTTCCCTACTGTGGAGGGTTGATGTATGATGATATTAAATGAAGTAGATTTACTTTGTGAGTATCAAGGACTCAATAAACACAGATGATTCTTCCCTGCACTGACAGAATTAATCACGTCCTCCTTTGCTGTCCAAAAACAATAATGCTGTTTCATAATGTTACAGAACCTACAGTGTACCTGTGGTAAAATAATTTGTGATTATGTCTAGCTACACAGTTAACTTGAAGTTCCTCTGAAGAAGAGACTCTGTCTTCTGATCTGTTATATGCCTCTTTCACAGATGCAATGCCCAGGATTGAGTTACTGGTTGAATAAATAAATGAACAAATGATTGATGAATCAATCCATAAAATGACAAATATTATTAAAGAGTCAAAACAAGCCATTTGCTAATAAAAAATTGGAAGGAGAGACTTGCAGGAACCTCTCCTTGATTTAACTCATGTAGAAAATTACCACAAATAGGAGGCTACTAAACTGTTAGCTGACTCTCTAATACCCTTGTCCCCCCAGAAAGAGCCCTGATTTGTATTGTTTCCCATTTTCCTTAGTGTCAATATTTCTACTCTGGCCAATTTCAAGCTACTGATATCATGTCACTTAACAGGGAAGAAACGTGTCCAATATGTCCGCACCAGCAGAACAAGCCAGCTCCAACACATCACTGACGTAGCTCTTCCTAAAATAGCTTCAGCCATTTACTCTGACTCTCATTGTTCCTTCTCCCCCCCATTTTGAAAAAGTGCCGCTAAAATCAAGTGAGTAAATTTGACTCTGACAGACCTGACATCCTAGTGGAGTAGGGTTGAAAGAGGTTAAATTCCAAAGGAAAGGGACAGGAGACAAATTGCTCCACTCATGGTTGGCGGAGCTCACTTAAACTTTTTCAGCTCAAGGACCACAAAAAGAAAGATCGTGGATGCCCACTACTTACTCAATTGTGTTTCTGTCCACTTTTCCTGTCATGTTAATGCCGTAGAACTGCTGCATGGCAGCTAAGGCGGCCTGCATGGTCTCCGCGGAGCGCAGCACCGACATTCTGGGGTCAGTTGGTGGAAGGTAGCCGTACTTTTGTAACCAAACCTGCAATAAGGACAGTTCCTTTTAGACCGACCTCAAAACTGAACAATAACTTTACAGTAACTAGTGGATCTTTAAACTTCATTTCCTCTACAAGGGCATATATTATTTAAGTGTTTTATCTCTTTTTAACATACATTCTGTAGTTTAATATAATTTTGGGGATCGTTGTGGATCTTTCTAGCACACCTACAAAAACTAACTGAAAAGAAAAAGGTTAGTCATTTGTTGCAAGCTTATTGTTTATAAGGAACTATACTCAATACTGGGTAAGATAACAAATAAAATATGACCCCTGCCCTTTAGGAACTCAACTTCCCCAAATAAGGGATGATACCTTTTCAACAATAACCCCAATGAGACATCTATGCTGGAAGGGGTAGTTAATGTGCATATACCACATCTAAAATGTCACTTTCCTGAACAACTAACCAAGGGCTGTTGTCATCATGAGTAGCATCAACAATACAGACCATATTATTCTGTCATGACATTTTGAGTATAAATTTCATGTGATTGATCTATTCAATTGTAGTTAGATGTCTTCAAGGGTAGGTAAGTGTTTCTCATGTAAAGAATAGTCTTCCATTTATTTAAGGTGACTCACTTCAATCCAAATAATGTAAGTGACCAAAATTCTCATATATAGACGAATCAGACTATCTTGCTAAGTATGTTTGGGTCTCTCTTTAAGGATCTCATGATTTTTATTCTCCTCTTCCCCAGAGAAGGGAGATCCTGTGTGGATAGTGAGAGAAAGATGTCTGAGTTGAGCTCACATCCCAATTGTGATTATAGCAACAATTCAGTCATTTAAGGTCAGAATTTCAAAGTAACCTAAAACTCAGGGTATTTGGGGAAAAAAAATTTTCACCAGAGAGCAGATGCTTTCCAGTTCTACAATTCTATGCATTCATTTTAAATGCACAATCATATGTTCAGCTCATATCCCATCCTTCTGTCCCTTACCTCAATCTTCCATGGGGCACTAAGATTTCTTGAAGTGCAGTGAACTGCCTGTCAAATTGAGAAAGGCCAAGTAATTCTGCCTGTCACACAGAATAGAAGCTGTGCTATTTAGTGGAAGGTATTCACCAGTATGTATTTCCCTTGCCACCTGGGTCTATTCATCATACAAATGATGATCCTATGAAGCTACAGCTTTTCCCCGATACCTGATATACTTCCGCTATGACCTGACCACTAACACAGAGGAGAGCTATTTTCTCAGTGAAAACAAACGTAATTATATAAATTAAATTTCACCAAAAGAGACTGATATTAAATATACCAAAGTCTTAATGTGTGAAAAGACAAGGTGGATTCATTTGTAGTATTTCCAAGAAAATGATGCCCCCAAAAGCTTAGAACTCTAAGCACAACCCTTTGAAAATAAAATAAAACATTTATTCTAAAACTGTTTAAGAGATCAACAACACCTCACTGTCAGGAAGGTTTACTTTCGAAACTCCATCTAGTAAATTCACCTACCACTTGGTGAAAACATGCCAAGATACTCCTCTCATCTAATCTGTAATGAATAGGCTTCCAGGGAAGACACGTATGTTCAGAGTTACCTAGTCAACAGTGCTGCAGTCTGAAATAGACTCCATTTGTTTTCTGAATGAAGGAGACAAGATTTCACTGGCAATGTATTACTTACTAGAAAATTCAATACCTATATTGGAATGCAATTTCCCCCAAATTAGAAGAGTTCATCTTGATACTTAACAGTATACATGCACTAATATTCTGAAATTGAACTCTTTTTCCCATAACACTTTGTTTGCATTTATTTCTTACTTGTTAGAGAGCTGACTTGTTGCTAGGTTACTCATGGGTGCTAAGCTACTGGCCACCACATCGTTTATGGTGTCAGCAAAGAGAAAACTACACAAATAAAAAGACTATAAAATATATAAATTTTAAATGGATAATGAAAAAATAGCATGTTATAAAAATACATATTGATTTATGCATTACCCTTTAAAACAAATGAGTTGGAATAATAAAAAAATAAATTGTGATTTTTCTTCAAGATCTCTTTTATATTATGCCATTTATCATGAAAGTCAATTTCTTCTAAATGATTGAGAAGTGAATAATTCTTTTTAATTGAAAAATATCAGAAAATCTATGGGACCTACCATTTTATAGTCAAAGTTTGTTTTTGTCTGATAACTGTCACTGAGATTATGGGTCACCTTGAGTTTACCATTCTTAATATCATTGTTATTTGTTAATTAAGATATCTTTGACATCATCAAGAATTAACCAAGAATAATTCTCAATGGAAACTTGCAATGCATCTTTCCACAAAACAGTGGAAAATCAAGCATGTCAGTGTCATGTTAAGAGTATGAAACCAGCAAGCCATCAATAACATTTTTTATTAAAACTTCTGTGGACAATCATACTCTACGTGGATATAAAAAACAAAACCTAAAGTATTAATTTGATCCACAGTGCATCTTTACATCCAATACTCAAAAACTGCAGGGAAAAACAAATACTTGCTTAAATAATCTTAAACACCGAGAGAGTATAGTCTCTTGAGTTTGTTTTTGTCTTACACGAACTACTTAGTTTAAGCTGTTGACACCACAGAATTCTAAGAGTCTGATCATTTTTGGTATGATAGAGAAAAGAAATCTGTACCAAATAGCCCTACATAAGATGCTAACGCTCCTTGGAGGAGACTAAGTTGGTCACCATGGTGATGTAAAACTGACCAAATACAAAGTGGACAGGACACTCAGCATCAACGGTAGAAAACCACTATGGCCAAAATCCAGAAAGCTTTGTAAACACTGACTCTTAAGTCATCACTGAATGACGATCAGGTATAAATAGTGTATATCAGATTCAAACACTGGTCCATAATCATCATAGAGGTATAGAAAACTCTGTTATAAGTCATCTTATTCTATGTATATAGAACAAAAACCCTTGTGTTATATAAATAGAGCATGGTGGAGCCTTAGCACCTTATCAATCTAAAGTAACGAAAGGAAATTTTAAAAATTCAAATATGAGGGCGCCTGGGTGGCTCAGTCAGTTAAGCGTCTGCCTTCGGCTCGGGTCATGGTCCCGGGGTCCCGGGATCGAGTCCCACATGAGGCTCCCTGCTCAGCAGGGAGTCTGCTTCTCCCTCTCCCTCTGCTGCTGCACTCTCTCTCTCTCTCTGTCAAATAAATAAATAAAATCTTAAAAAAAATTGAAATATGACAGAAGTGACATAGAAAACATTTTTCTTTTCTACTAAATTACAACCTTTAATATCTTATTTGATAGAAAATTAAATTAAATATACAAAGTAATATTTGAAGGTACACCTTATCCCTTAAAGACTATACCATAGACTTCATCCTCATACATTGTTATTTGAAATATATCCCTGTTTTAAACATTGTTTTTAATGTTTAATGTTTAAATTTCCTGGATGACAGGAAATAAGTTTGCCTTCTGAGATTGCTTGTCTCTTAATATTTTTTTCAGTGCTCTCAAAAGCATATAATGGGTAGTTAAGGAATAATTTCCTCATGTATGCATTTGGGGGAAATGTTGAATTTGCAGGTTTGATGTGAGGACTGAGAATACATAAAGCCACCAGCACATTTTTTGCTCAATCATATTATTATTTTATGCTTATTCATTGCTCTGAGTTCTTGAAATTGTTCCTGCTGTCCTTGGAATGAATGGGGCAAGACTGAAATGCAGGTAAGATGTAAAGAATCAGAGTTGTGAGGAAAGACAACTTGTTTTTATTTTGTTTTCTTTGTTTTGCCTTCTTTTGCTTACTGGATAGACACATGCATTTCCAGTGCACTGAGAGCACTGGAAAACTATCAAGAAACAAGTTTCTTTGGAGGCAACACTTGTTTTACTGTCTGGGAATTAGCCCATGTCATTATCATGAGGACAAGCAACCACAGAACCTCAAATACAGCAACAAAGTCTAACCTTGAATTACCTTCCCTCTTTTACTAACAGTCAAATTATCTTGCTATCTTGGAGACAAAACCAATTTCCTGCACTTAGTGATTATTCAAATGAAGGAACAACCAGAAGAGTGCTGGTCTCTGCAGAGTAAGAGGACTTACCAAGCAATAAAAGGTAAACATTTAAATATTAAATTCTGTGCCAATAGATATTGCCTTTACCAGACTGTAGTATAAATAGGAATAGCAGGCATGCAAAGTTTTAGTAAATCCCTTAATAAAGAATATCTTTGTCACTAATATTTCATGTAACCATATTGGGAAAACCTGTATTAATTGACTCAGCTATCCACACCCATATATCAGTGTGGTATCCTGAAAGATGGTTATCAACAACAAAAAGGAGACATTAGCAGTTCTCATGACTAACAACAAATATAAACAGAGGATTTTTAGAATATATATATATTTTTTTAGATTTTTTTTTTAAGATTTTTATTTACTTATTGAGAGAGAGAGAATGATAGAGAGCAAGAGGGAGGAGGGTCAGAGGGAGAAGCAGACTCCCTGCTGAGCAGGGAGCCCAATGCGGGATTCGATCCTGGGACTCCAGGATCATGACCTGAGCCGAAGGCAGTCGCTTAACCAACTGAGCCACCCAGGCGCCCTAGAATATATATTTTTACTTAGTCTCTCAGGCCAGTACTAAAATCTAGAGAAGTAGATTTTCCTCCAGTTGTTAAAGCTAGTAAGTTTATCAATGCCTTAATATAACATTAAGATACTCCTATTCATTTACTAAGGTGAATCACAAATGCAAGAACCAGATTAAAATTCCATCACTGGCAGGACCCAACATACGGAAAGAACATCTTGAAAGGATGCTTAGATATTTTTCCAAGAAGAATTTAAATAGTTAAACTAATGAATTTATTAGGGCAGGGAGGGATATATTTTAGAATATATGTCAGACCACATGTCTATTTGTGACTGAGCAAGTGATTTCAGGTAAAGCTCATTGCAGCTCATGTGTGGTATGGCCAAATGCAAAGTCCATGGGCCCCGTGATCATATGATCCAAATTATAGCACTCAATATAGAAGGAAAAGGGCAAAGGTAATAGTTTTATTTATAGTATTTACTTTATAGTATTTTATGGTATTTTAGTAACAATCACTTCAATTTACATAATTATATAATTTTTTATTATTTTCGGATGTCATTTTTAAAATTATTGAATTCATATTAAATTTTAACATATTTATTAAAAAATTTAAGTATGTAATGATTAACATATAATCTGATATAATTAACTGACTTTCTTGATAAAATAAAGGAAAGCATTTTTAATAGTTTTCAATATTATAAAATTATTTTCCATTTTTCCGTATGAGACTTCCAAATGTTAAAATTCTGTTATTAACTAAAATTAACAACTAAAAAGTGTCCCTCCCCTATTTTGTGTATTACCCACAGAGTTAGCAAAGGTTTAAGGACATTTTCCCCTGAAACAGCATATATTTCATAGTTACAAAGAAGGGCAGAATTTAGGGGCTAAATTTTCTAGTCTGAAAAGTGGCTATCAATATGAATTATAACTACCTATTAACCAAAAAACTAAATTGATGTGGGAGTAGTCATTCAGAATTGGTCAAATTGAAAATTCATAGGATAAGTTAATGAGGCAGAAATTAGCCTTTCTGTTCATTCAAAAATCTAAATGGGTTCTAAATCACCATCCCATTCCTACCATGAATGAATCAGTGTATGAAATTGCACATATAGAATTCAATTCCTTTAGAATTTTACTGTCTATTTAAATGGCTTCTTAAAATGGAAATCAAACAGTGGAAGGACCAAAAGTTACACCATTGAACATCTTAGCCATCAAGAGACAACTGCCTTTTGGACAAGGAGATGGAAAATAGCTGGATCATTAGTAAAAATTATAATGATCATGATGACCATATTTTTCACCTTAACATGAAATTCTTTAATTTGTTATAGAAACTAAAAACTTGGGATATAAAGGCTAGGGAGAGATTTTTCCATTCTGCATTTAAGTGAACTGCAGTTGGTATTTCATAGCTCTGGGAGCTAATAGTAATATTAGCTCAAATAGTAATGGCTGAGCTCCAGTGATCAAACAAATAAACAAAAACAAAACCCCCCACCAAACTAAAAAAACAGTTGTTTTTAATTGGGATTCTATCATATGCTAGTCATTGTACTGGCAAGTTTGAGTACTATGCTATATTGGTCTCCTTATGGTTTTTCCTAAGTATGTTTTACATTTTTAAAGATGAATATATAGTGTCCATGCACATACACAGACACACTGACAAAACAAGACCAAAATAACTCAAAAAGACAAAACTCAACCAACAATGAACAATAGCAGGGCATTATGTCATCTCACTAACCCCAGTTTCTCAGGTGGGCAGAAATAATTACCGAAACAGTAACTACTTATATTAATCATTAACATGATACTACTTTTTATCAAAATCACCTCACAAAGCTAAATAGAGTAAAATTCTCCTCAAATTTGTGCTTCCTTACAGTAGTGAATGAAGTGCTGAGCAATGCATCCTGTGAATTTTCTAAAAGGCATGTCCTTGAGCCTGAGTCAGGTGGATGATCAACTCAACTCGCCCTTATTTTCTGGGGGCAGATTCAATCTCACCAACACCAAAAAATGATGAGGAGATTAATCTCAGGGTCTTCAAAGTAGGAGTATAAAATGCCCCATTGAGATGTAGGCCCAAAATTCCACAGCATTTTATGTAATGCATGCATCCACACATTCATGCATGAATACACCTATCTATAAAATAAGAAGAAATCAACTTCACTTTTATTTAATGTTCAGATTGATATTGGGGCCCTCACGTGGACAGACATTTATTTGTCACCTGCGTTCCAGCAGGTGTCCGGAGGAAGGAGGTAGAGTTCCACAGTGTGGAGGGGTTTACAGAATCACCTGCAACAGTTATCTTGATTCTAGCACATTATAACACCACTATTTTTCTGTGACAGATTAAATGAATTTATGGGTTATATCGTCTTAAAAGTAGAAATTTTATAATACTTTGTGATATGATGGGGAATGGCCAAAAACATATTTTGTACCATATATATGTTTCCTGGTTATCTTATGAAAATGTAAAGAGTTGTCAAACTTGAATAAGCTATGCATTTCTTTTACAAAAAGACAACAGTGTTGCCTTTTTCTGTAAAGGGAACTGGTTGCAAATAGTATGCTACTCAATTGCTACTTTGAAAGTAATCTGTCTCAAGATAAATGTGATGTTTTAGTAATGTAGGAGAAAGGACCTACTTTTGAAAGAAAGATGTGCCATGTAGAGAGTATGTTAAAAATGCATGTTTAGAAATGTTTCCATTATCACAAGACTTTGTACTCAAAAAGATATAAATACTTCACCTATTAAAACTCTCTCTTAAAAAACAAAAAACTCTCAATTTCCTACTTTAAAATTCCAGCAACAGGGGTGCCTGGGTGGCTCAGTCCGTTAAGCATCTAACTCTTGATTTTGGCTCGGTCATGATCACAGGGCCATGAGCTCGAACCCCATGTGTCAGGCTCTGAGCTGGGTGTGGAGCCTGCTTAATATTCTCTCTCTCCCTCTCCCTCTGCTCTCCCCTCCTCCCCACCAGGGTGCTCTCTTTCTAAAAATAAATAAATAAATAAATAAAAATAGAAAAAATAAAAATATAATTCCAGGGGGTGCCGGAGTGGCTCAGCTGGTTAAGTGTATGCCTTTGGCTCTCTACTTGTGGGGAGTCTGCTTCTTCCTCTCCCTCTGCTCCGTCCCCTTCCCACCACTCCCTCCCCCCGACTTGTGCTCTCTCTCAAATAAAAATTTTTAAAAAATAAAATAAAATAAAATTCCAGCAACAGAATTTTCTACCTATAAGATAGCCTGCTAAAAAAAAGAATAATTTTAGTGGGATTTTAAGCCCATTTGTTAAAAATATGAAAATGCAACACCTGATTAGTTTTCAGGGACAACTGACAGACATCATGGAATATGGAAATTTACTGTCTGAATTTTACCAAAAAACTTTTGCATAATTGATGGGTAGGATTATAAAACGAGGTTCATGAGTTGCAATCAGCTAATGATGTAACTTTTTCAGTTGCATGTACGTTTCCTTGTGAGGTGGTGAGATGTCTTTTTTGGCCATGGTAATTTTAAATGGGTCTTGAAATCGCTGTATTTCCAAGTGTTAAATCAATATTATAGTGTAGTCAGTGACAGAATTCTCCAGGATAATAATTAGTGGTAGTCCTAATAGGAGCAAAACAATATAAATACAATTAATAAGTAAAACAAAAAATATTTTTTTTAATTTTATGACATCCTTAGCTCATCTTAATATTCCTATTTTGAATATGTTTCATAATATATACAATGTTTAGTACATCTGTTCATGAATAGAATTATAAATAAGAGAGGGTAAATGTTAAAAAAATTGATTGATGGAGATATGCTATCAAAAGTGTGGAGATCACTGATCTGATAGAAAGTACTCTGTTTTTAAAAATGAAGCTACTTCCGGGGCGCCTGGGTGGCTCAGTTGGTTAAGCGACTGCCTTCAGCTCAGGTCATGATCCTGGAGTCCCTGGATCGAGTCCCGCATCGGGCTCCCTGCTCAGCAGGGAGCCTGCTTCTGCCTCTGACCCTCCCCCCTCTCATGTGCTCTCTCTCTCTCATTCTCTCTGTCTCAAATAAATAAATAAATAAAAATCTTTAAAAAAAAAAATGAAGCTATTTCCTTAAATTCTCTCCAATGTGATATACTTACTCTCCCTAAGGGATGAAAAGACAGTTTATCAATATCTATATATTACATTCTGACTGTGACAATTCCCAAGCTCTTCCTTTCCATCATACACTATTGAAGCTACTCAAGTCCTATAGAATAAATTCCTTAGGATGATTTCCAAGCCATTCATGATTTAGTCTCAAAGTGTGCCTTTGTTACTTTGCTCCATGGAATTCTTTGGTCACACGGAAATTTGAGTCCCACTCCCAACAGACGTCCATAAGAACAGCAACCATTCCTTTATTGCCCACTATGTACCAATTTACATGCATTATCTTTATCCCTTATAACACGTCTGTGAGTTAAGCACTATTATCTCTGTTTTCAAAATGACAGAATACACCCCAGAACGATTAAATAACTTTCCCAAGGACGCACCGATATAAGAGGAATGATCAGTATTCAAACAGAGATCTGACAGATACCCACGCTTGGCTCTCTCTGTTATTCTGGGCTGCCTCTTAGACATGCGAGAGACCCAGCTGCCTATCTCTATCCTGGGAAATCCTAGGAGATCTATTCACATTTCAAAACAAGGAGGCAGACCATCTGAAAATACATCTACAATAACTGACAGTGTTCAGTTTTTATGCAAACAAACCATCCCATTTTATATCACGAAAGTATATCTTAACCGTGGTTGCCTATGTTCTGGGTGTAACACTCACTCCTACCTCCAAGAGCTTCTCTAATTGCCAATGCAAAACAGGCTCGCACGGTCCAATCTGCCCCGCCCAATTAATATTCTTATTTCCATGCTAGACTATTTCATGTATGGCCACTTCAGTTTTACAGTTAAAAACAAACAAACAAAAAAAACCCCAAAACACTGAAACGCTCTTTGCCAGAGACTTACCCTTTCTTCACTAATTCTTTCACGGCACTTTCTTACTGTAGCTTTGATACTGCTGGTCAACTGTATCTACACTTTCCTTGGTTATCTCTTCTAAAATTAATCCCTCAAATACCATCTATTTGCTGATGACAGACCAATTTAACCCTCTAACCCTGACCTTGCCCTAATGCCAGGACTGCTATCACACTGATGTTTAAACCCCAAACACAGAATTACCCTTAATCCTGCCTTTTCCTCATCATTCACATCTAATCCGTCATCACTCTTTAGTTCCAACTTTACCTTGAAAGCAAACCTTATTTCTGCTGACACCCCTTTGTCTAGGACACCATCATTTATCATCAAAAATTACAAGATTCTCCAACTGGTCTCTGCTTTCATATTGCTACCTCACTCTCATCCAACGAGTTTTTTTTTTTTTTTTTTGATAAAAACACAACCCAAAATTTACCATTTTAACCATTTTCAGTTTAACAATTCAGTGGCATTAGGTACATTTACATTGTTACGTATCCATCACCACTATTCATCTCCAGAATTTTTCATCACTCCAAACTGAAATTCTATATGCGTTAAACAATAACTCGCCCTTTATCTTCTTCTCACAGTCCTTGGTAACCACTATTCTACTTTCTATGAATGTGACTCATGTAAGTGGAATCATGCAGTATTTGTCCTTTTGCATCTGATTTATTTCATCTAGGATGTTCTCAAGGTTCATCCAAATTACAACTTGTAGTGTGTAACATTTTTAAAGGTGAATAATAGGACATTGTATGTATATACACCTTTTTGTTTATCCATTGATCCATCAAAATTTTAGTTGCTTCCATCTTTTTGGATATTATAAAGAATGCTGTTATAACCACTGGTCTACAAATATCTTTTCAAATCCCTGCTTTCAGTTTTGGGGGGTATATATTTAGAAGTGGAATTACTGCATTTTATGGTAAATCTACATATAACTTTTTGAGGGACTGCCTTACTGTTTTCCAGGGGCTTCACCATTTTACATTCCCACCAATAATGCACAAGGGGGTCCAATTTCTTTTCTTCCTCACCAACACCTGTTATCTTCTGTTCTTTGGTTTGTTTTCATTTTTTTGTATGTGCTATATCTTTTTAAATGTAGATCAGGGAATAGCATTCACTTGATTATAACCCTTCAGCAGTTTCTCAGTGACTTAATGTAAAATTTAGATTCCTTACTGTGGCCGACAAGTCCATGCACAGTCATTGTTGAAACTTTAACTTCTTTTCATAGTACCCCCTTTTAATATTCCACGCATATGATCTTTTTTTATCCCCCCCCACCCCCACCTCCCGGAACCAGCTAAATTCTTTCCTGCCTTGGGGTACTGCATTTACCTTTCCCATGTATGAAATACAAAAATACATTTCTCTCCATCCTTTAAAATTTAGGTCAAATTAGACTTCTTCAAAGAAACCTTCCCTGTTTCCACTTTACCACTACCACCAACACCAGGGAGCATCCTGTTTAAGTCCCTCACCACACTTATCATGATTGTTATATGGTAGCTCTGTTTACTTATGTGTTTGTTCTTTATCTTTATATATCTCTTTCAACATGATAGGCACAACACCTAGAACAATTTTCTGAGCTGGAGTAATGGAATTACAAGGGCTAGATAAATGGAGAACCCACTGGGGTTGGGTTAACTACCCAATTATTCAACCCCCCCCCCACATATGCAACTAGGCTCCAAATGTGAACAATAAATCTTAGCTCATCGCATCCATAGCAAAGGTTAGTAACTTCCAGGCACCTCAGAATAATTCTAGGAAATACAGAGCAAGGTAAAATATGGGTCAATGTTAGAAAAGCACTTAGCAGTTTTCATCTTTGCCTTTTCAGATTCAACTTCCATCCCCACATCTGGAGATAAAAATCAATGTGGAATTGTTTTTACAGCTTTAAAATTGCTTTCAGGAAAGTACTGATGAGTGTAAACAACACACCAACAGCTTACATTTATTAAGTCAGTTGCTGTGTTAATCTCCTTAACACACTGGCTCATATAATTATCACAACAAGCCTGTGAGGTTGGTATTATTATCTTCATTTTACAGATGAGGAAACAGGCTGAGAAGGGTTAATCAACTTGCTCAGGACTTCAGAGCAAGTAGGTGATATCCAGGGATATGAGTCTCATAGGAGTGTGAGTCTAGAATGGCTCTTGTTCTTAACAATTGCCAGGAAGCCAAGAAGAGTGAGTCCTTGATAAACTAGCCTTTATGATATAAGATTAAGGATGGCCCAAACAGGCCATTCTAGGTCAGAAATCAGCTGTCTTATTTCACATAGCTGAATCTCATCCGTGGGTAGTTGGGACATTTTGCTGAAGAAAAAAAAAAACAAAACATAAATTGAATGACATTATTACCTATCTGTCCAACAGAACCCTAGCAACTAGTAAAGAGGGAGGAAAAGTAAGGAGCTCTCAAAAGGCTGAAAAGTATTCTTATTCTCTAAAAGTGAAACTTTCATTTCTTTTGAAACAGCATAGTCCTCTAAAGGCAAATCTCTTTCTGATTTCCACCACATGGTAAGAAAAGAGGTTTGATTTTACCAATTAATTATTATACTGAGATTTTGGAAGCACTAAACTTTGCACTTAATTTTGAAGTAGGGAAGGACAATTAATAATTGTCCTGACAGAACTCCAGAAGATAGAGTGAATATGGAAGAATATTTAAAAACAAGGGGCACCTGGGTGGCTCAGTCGGTTAAGCGTCGGACTCTTGGTTTTGGTTCAGGCTATGATCTCATGGGTTGTGAGACAGAGTCCTGCTTTGGGTTCCACACTCAGTGGGGAGTCTGCTTGAAGATTTTCTCCGTCTGCCCCTTCCCCAAATCCCGCACGTGCGTGCACTCTCTCTCTCTTAAATAAAAAAAATAAATCTTAAAAAAAAATAAAGACAACAACAAAAACACATGTACTCCAACTGCCAGTACTCACCAATCAGCTTTCTATCTCCAGGGACAATCTTGTGCTTCAAACTGTGAAAGCATCCTTTGCCCCAGAAGGTGTATACTTCTTGGAAATGTGAAACTTTTTTTTTAAGGGAATAACATAGTATGAAGGTTGAAAGAGTTTAACATCTATTATAATTAAAGTATTTGGAGAATAAATGCTTTCTAACAATTACAATTAGAAGGGTTTTTTCCCCCCAAAATAAGATACCTGTGTTTTAAAAATAGATATGCTTTAGGATTAATGAGTGGAAATTAAAGTTTCTCAAGGATAAGAAGTATTCCAGATTCTTCTAAAGAGGAAGGAATTTAAAAAAATGAATTAAAAAAACAACTCTTCCATGTGCACTAATTTTTACTAAAATTTAATTTACTAAAATCTTATTATGTACAAGTTCTTGGCTAGGCCTCGAGGTCACCACACTGAACAATACAAAAGTAGCCCTTGGTCTACTGGAGCGTTCAGACTGATGGCTTGGAAGACCAACAGTAAATAAGCAATCTCCAAATAAATATGTCATTTCAGATTGTAACAAGTGCTTTAAACAGAACAGAGTGTTGTGAAATCTAACTGAAGGATCTAATTTAGATTTAGAGGATAAGAAGACACATGAACTGAGAGTTGAACTGAAACTCAAAATATAAGAAAAAGCAAAGGAGAAAAAAGAGAGAAGCTCATACTAAGGCAGAGAGGGGCAGGCACATACGCCCAGAAGCATGGGTAGTGGGTTTAAAACATGTGTACAAATCCTTTGACACCTGTTCCATCAAAAGGAGGAGTCTAATTTCCTCTCCCCTTGGTTATGGGCTACTTTTATTACTTGCTTTTGATTAGCAGAGTATGATGGAAGGACGAGATGCTGCCCAACTTTTAAGGCTGGTTAGAAAAGTCTTCTGCCTGGCTCTCTCTTGGGAAAATCACCCTGGGAACCCAGCCTCCAAATTGTAAGGAAGCCCAGGCCACATACAGAGGCCACATGTAGATTCCCTCTGACATTCTCATGTGAAGTCCCAACCAATGAGCTGGCATCAACTAACTGAGACAAGGGACTAATATGCATTCACATGATTCTAGCTCCCAGCCTGTGAGTAGTGCTTAGAGAAACAAGCTACCCTTGCTGAGCCTTGCCCAAACTACAGATTTGTGAGTAAAATGAATGCTGTTGTTTTAACCCACTCAGCTTTGGGACTAATTGTTTCACAGTAATAGATAAGTGGACTAGCATGAAAGAGCTTTGAATTTTCAAGGAACTGAAAGAAAGCCACTTTGGCTAAGAGGGACTGAGTCTAGGAAAGAGTTATATGATCAAGTCATGCAATAACTTACAGCATTTAATATGTGTGAGTGTGATATAGGAAGCAGAGAAGGGTTTTAAACCTCTAAGTGATATGATCATATTCGGGTTTGGAAAGTGTCATTCTGGCTACTGTGTGGGTAATTAATTGGAGAAAATATGAATAAAGTAGGGGCAGTTAGGAAGTAAATGCAATGCTGGCAGTAGCTGGGAAGATGGATAAGTAGATGACTTCAGGATACATTTGAGAGGTAGATACAACTTTGCAAGCTATAAAGTATGTTGCAGTTGTTGTCACTACTATTACTATTGTTATACCACTTAAGTGCATACTGTTTTTTGGAGGGTTGAATGCTAGGCACTAGGATACAAAGAAACTTCAAAGTGTTTGCCATTAAGGAATTCATAGCCTAGCTGTCAAAGAAACAAGCAAACATTCTGATGAAAGCTTATATGGGCACCAAAGGTGCACCTGGATAGGTCACCCAAACCTCCAAGGGTAGAGTTTCGGGGTGATGGTAATAGAACTTAAACATACCTCAAAAAGCATTTCAAGACATTTAAATCTCCTTAGTTTATAAAAGGCTCCTCTGTCCTCTTTCCATCTCCAAGATCACTTCCTTAGAGTAGGCTCTCCTTTACTTGTACTTGAATATTGCAACACTTGCCTAATTGCCTAATTCATTTCCCTGGCTCCATATTCTTTCCATTTTGATCTACCCTACTTAGTACTGAAAGATTAATTATCCTAAAATATCATTTCCTTTTTTTAACTTTCCTGCTCAAGACACTATGATTGCTATCATTTACTTCCTGAACTGGTTTAAAATTCTTTTCTTATATTTAATAAACTCCAAAAGCTCAGAACGTATCTACTTCTGCAAACTCGACCCTCTTTAAAAACATGTATACTGGGGTGCCTGGGTGGCTCAGTCGTTAAGCGTCTGCCTTCGGCTCAGGTCATGGTCCCAGGGTCCTGGGATCGAGGCCCGCATTGCGCTCCCTGCTCCGCGGGGAGCCTGCTTCTCCCTTTCCCACTCCCCCTGCTTGTGTTCCCTCTCTTGCTGGTCTCTATCAAATAAATAAATAAAATCTTTTTTTTTAAAAAAACATGTATACTAACTGAATATTACCCAAACTGATTTATGGGCCACGGAATGTGTTTCCCAGGGTTTGCTTATGTTCCTACCAGTCCCATACCATCATTATCCTGCACACACCAATATGTCTTGCCCAATCAAGTCCCAGTCTTCCTTGAAGTCTTTATATTTCCTTATCTCTCTCTCTAGTATTTAGTGTGCAGGCAGCTCACTGAGCACTTAAGAAGTCATCACGTGACAGGTAATGTTCTAAGGTGGGTATGCGCACAGCCTCTGAGTCCAGGGGATAGAGGCTCAAGCCTGGATCACATACCCACAAGTTATGGTCTTGAGCAAAACACAGGGCCTTTGTAAGTCTCAGTTTGTACATCTGTGAAATGGAGATAATATCACTACCTAAGGATTGTATCGAGGATTCAATAAAATATCCCTACAAGAGTACTTACCATAGGGTATGGCACCAAATAGTTTAGCAATAGTGAATAAAAAATATATTTATTTTTTAATATATTTAAAAAATATATAATTATTTATGTAACATACTTCTATTTCCAAATTATCTGAAGAATACATGACAATTTTAGGTAGCAGATTTGTTACATTCTTGACAAAATATCTCTGATCTCTACACCCCCTGGGAAGAAACCACAAAACAAAAAAAAACCCGTTCCTCTGCTAGCACATACCATCGCTGATGAACATCTCATGAGCCTCTCTGGGATCTTATCTGAGGTTCCAATACAGGATACTTAAGCTGTATCCTCTCTCTACCATGAATCCTGTTTTCTACTTCCTGGATTCCGCTCAGTCTCCTGTCATGTCTTGTAATTTATATTAACAAGATAAG